CCTACTTTGAGAGACAATTCGTCTTTGTTTTTGATAAAATTGATGGATCATTAATCTCATTACTCAAACGTGGATATTTAGCTAATTTCGATGAAAAACGACAAGGTGTTTCTATAGTAGTCCTGTTATGATTACTAAACTGTCTGATTGGATTATCAATTTTTGATGAAAATATCGATGCACAATTTGGACAATAATTATTTGTACAATAAGTCATTGATGACGTTGTCGTTGTTCTTGTCGAAGATGAATTTAAATCATTTAATTGTTGTTGTAAACAACTTAATGTTCGTGGACTATAGTCAGAAGTGAATGATGATGGAGATGAACGAATATTGAATAATGGAAGATGATGATAATTTGTACCGGTTATAGTCGATGATAATGATGGAGAAGAAGTGGTTGTTGAATTAGCAGCATCATATTTTGGAACATAATATGATGGTAATAATGGAGTATTAAATGAGGAACTCATTATAATCGTAAAACATAAAAAAAAGTAATCTAAAAAATATATACTATTGTGTATACATATAAGTAATGTACAATTCAGTGTAAATATTGGTAGTCATTTTATTTTTGTTAATTGCTTCATTTAGAGAATCATATATCAAGACTGTATAAAAGACCATAAAAAAGACATAATGATTCATTCATTGTCATTCATTCCCAATTCTGAAATATTCTGTAACAACAACAAAATAATAATAATAATAAAATGAACAAAAAAATTTAGTACAGTTTCATCAAATTCGAAATACATAAACATGAACTCAATTTTGTATTTTTGATTTGCATATATAATCTCGAATAAAAATGATAACAATAAAGAAAAAAAAAACCCAGTGAGTATACATGAAATAATACAATAGTAGACACACTGATCTATTGTTTTTTTTTTGATTCGACTACGGATTTTTGATCTATTTTATCCGCAACGGGAACATCATCAAACGATTCTCCGTATTCGTTCACACGTGCTTTATCCACGGGATATAGCCTAGGAAAAAGATTATACTCTAGCGCATCTTGCGAAGAAAAGAAAATCTGTTCAATAAAAAATATTTATTAAATTTATTTAAGAGCATCCCTGTCAAAAAGGTCTTTACACATGACTGGATAGTTCAAAGTATCAATTTTTGAATACGCTATAGATTTTTACTTGGACGATGGTTTTGAATGGTTTTACTAAAGGCTCTGGGCACAAGTGAGAACTTTTGTTTTCATTTTTCAGTTAGTTAATTTATCAACGGAAGGATATGTCTCTTCACATGTTCATTCGATGTATTATAGCCGATAATCTATGGCAAACTACTCACAGTTATTTCCTACGTCACTTTTTTGTTAAAAAAAAACCAATCGTCAGAAATCCAAACTTATTTTATGATCTTTTACAAAATCAGTTTTTTGCCCAAGAGTTATTGCTAGTTGAGCAATAAATGAATAGTATTTTAAGTGCTACAAAGCTCGGATTGATCTAAAAACGACGAGAACACTTTTAACTATGATTCTATAGAGACGAATTTTAGTTTTTGCCTTCGTTTTAGACCTACCCGAGCTTTGTAACACATAAACTAGAGAAGAAATCTCAGAAATTACAACATTCACTTTCCGACTACTATTTTCACAGGAAAACTCGAGTTTTCGATCTTAAACGGTTTCCCAATCTAATCTAAGTAAGACTAACATTCTTTGAAAATCTGGTAAGAATTTCGCATTTTGCATCGAAAACATATTTTTGACAGGGAGTTCTTAACATTCAAGTGTATCTATTTGAAAAAATCAGTGTACATACCATTTTTGATAAAGATATATAATAAAAACGAAATCATCTCTAAAACAAGCTAAACGATGAGCTGTTGGCATTGTTATTATAAACGCAAACAAATCGTCAATAAATGTATTAAAAGCCTAAATGTATTAATGAGAAAGATGCAAACAATAATTATACTATTGATCATAAGTTATTCAACATTTACTTTATACATGAATGCTCTCCATGGTAAATGAGCAACAGATTTCAACTAAAGAGCAAAAATAGATAATGTAATTTAAAATATACAAAACAATATACGATATGTTTTTGTTCATACTTTATAATTAAGAAATAATTGTGGCATCATAAATATAAATCCAAATGCATACACACCATTGACAAGACTATTGATTAACCAAGAATACCAACTAAAATAACGAATAAACAAATAGAAAATAAAAAAATAAAATGTGAACGAAGAACGTGTAATACAAACTTTTTGTGTTGATTAAACATTAGGGAATAAACTGCCAGACCAAAACATAATGGATATAATAGGTAAGATAAATAACGCATAGCCTAAAACAACAATGATAAATTTCTCAAAATACGTTCTTAGATTTTGAGTTTTTCTAGAACGATATCTTTCTCTCTATCAATCATCTATTTGCAAATACTCTAACAATGTCAACTACCACTCGATAGAATCGATAGCGATCAAGATTAAAAAGCTAGACTAAATTTATAATTTTTTCCATAATCATCAGCCCTATAATATAACATAGCTCATATTAATTCATTTGCTATGGTTATGTTCTAACTTGGTTTAGCATTCTCACAACGTATATGCAGTTCATACTTTATATTCGTCTCTTCAACTTAAATTTCTAAACATCAAAATTTCTCTTTACCGTAGAATCGTACATCATCGAATCTTCTTCGGCTTTCGAAATGGCTCCAAACTAGAAATAATGATGATAAACTGTGTTTATTATTTCAAAAAAACCTAATATATTCTCTTACTGTGACAACTGGTCGATATCCATTAAAACGTATTTTTATTTTGAATGCTTTTGTTACTTTCCAAATCTGAATGAAAAAGAATGAAATCAATTTTCTATTGGAAAAATAAATCAATAAAAATTTTACTTCAATCAAAGTTCCAACGCCCGTTGGTATTAATACTAATAAACTTGCACCAGAGTCCAGAAGATAGAGAAATATAATAAACTGACTAATAGAACGCCATAGAACTAAAAATAACAGTAACAAATTAAATTATATTTCTTATTTTACATTCAAAATATATATTAAATAAGTGTAAAGTGACTGATAGAAAGTGACCTAACCGCTATTCACCTGTCCTTATTGATAGTCCAACCATTGTTTTTCTATGTCGCCAATAGTTGATATCATTTTTAAATGCCAAAAAATCAAATAATGTCTAAAAATAGAGAACCAATATATACTTTAGGAACATGTAATCAAAGGCTGTATGTCTCGCGACTTACATGGAATGCCGCCACAACAAATGTTAGAGCTAGTATTGTTAAATTATTATCAGCAAATATTCCTTTAATTTCATCAATTTCTTTATCTTGAAAACCCCATTGTCGAGTACTTTCAAGACCACGTTCAAAATTTAACCATAAACGTAAACGACCTAATGATACGGGAGAATACTGAAATTGAAGTTTCAATTCGGGTGATGACATATTTAATGGCTAAAAAACAAAATAAAGATTTATTCAAAAGACAAAATAGTAATTTATCACGCACATTACACTTACCGAATAATCACGTAATCGAGTGGATAATTTATCAATAGACATGAGCGGTAGGTAAGTTGTACTCGTCACTAAACTAAAAATAAAACCGAACACAACTAGAGAACTATTATTAAAATTTCGTGTTGTTTTAAATTATTGAATGAAAAGTTACATAATTTACCGAAATATATCAAATATTTCTTGTGGTATTTGTGATCGATCGAATGTGACATCATTCTGCATTATATTAAGTATTATTTTCTTTTGTATATGAGTAACAGGTAAACTAGATGTATTTTTATTCTAAAAATGACAAGAATATCATTAAAACAGTATTATAATCTACTAATTGTTAATTAAACAAAATAACCTGTTCAGTTTTATTTGTTTGACCAATTCCAATTACTTTTTCATGAAATAAATTAATAAAATCCTGTTGTGGTACAAGAAACTTTGATATTTCTAATTTTCGATAGAGTGCTTGTTGATCACGAAACGGATCGTGGCCTTGATACAAATACAAATGAATATAGAATGTTGTATTCTTTCGAAATTGTGATTTTAAAGGAATCACAACTGTTCTAAATAAATAATATATTATGTTTTTCAAACAAAGAGAAGATCAGATATCACCTTTCAAATGGTTGTGTGATAGTAAAATTGTCATAATCAAACATTTGCTGACATTTTGTATTTGATAATGACTGAGGAGCGGTGGAAGACATTGACAAACAACTGTACAGCTAGTAATAAACATAAAATTTAACGTTTTCTTCGTGTTCTTACTAACAGTTAATGTTTGAGTAGCAACTGACGAATGATGAAAGTAGTTTAGATATGTTTCTATATAGAACAAGCAATAAAGAAAGGATCGGAATTGAACAGACATGCAGGAGATAGAGACAAATAATTACAGGATGTCATCTTCCCATTACTTCTGCTTGAAAATTTATAAAGTATAGAATACTAAATTAAAATCGATTTATTTCAAATTTATTAAACAGTCACAAGCATCTATCTCATTTTGTATAAAAAATGTGAATTTTCATTCTAATGTAAAAAAGTGAATTTAAAAGCAAAATTTTATTAATTTTGATTATGAAGAAAATTCTCAAAATAAAGTATTTAGAAAACTTTTTCATAAAAATCTATTAGAAATTTTGAATAAAGGCGTGAAAGTATGAGAATCAGTATTGGTAACGTCACTCCTCAGAGTTAGTATTAATTAGTAAAACTAGCAGAAAAACTTCTTTGAACCTTTGTTCCACTTTCTAATTTAATAAACTAAAAGTTTAATTTATTATGAAACATAACAAATTAAGCGCAATAAACTGTAGTTCCAATCAATACACTTCTGTTAGTTTGATCTAATAATTCGAACTGTTAATTTTTTCCAGAAGAGAAAACAATCTCTAGTTTTTGTTGCTTTTTTTATGTATTATACATACTTTATAAATATGATTTAACTTATAGTGTGGTGCCAGACATTGTGTAGATTGACATGTTGGTAATCGAAATATAGAATAAAATGTATTGATACTATGAGCCAAATAACCGATAAAAATCACCAGTGTGATATTTGTAAAGGTAAGTAACTTAAAGCCAGCCATTTTGAAACAAACAATATGAAATAGAGAACAAAAACTTCATTATTAACGGTATCGTGATTCCAACTATATCAGCTATGAGACACGAAACAATTTCAATGAAACAGTAGTAAAAAAATTCGAGTGGAAACTATAAAAGAGACGTATGAGTAGAATAACAATCTTTAAGAAAGACTCGATAGGTCTTCGCATCTTTTTTGTTCCTATTATAAAAAATTAAGACTAGAAAACCTTTTTCTCGTATAAGTTTCTAGAAGCACGATAAGGTTTTTACATTCCAAGTTATAAACTAGTTGAATTCTCAAATAATTTTCCTCTTATTTGAAAAGTTGGACATAGAAAAAGGAGCACAAATCAAGTTTCTTTAATTATCATATTTTGTTAAATATTTCTAAAATTAATCTATAATATTTTGTACAATTTATCTTTTTTTTCAAGATATATATTCTGTCAAAGACTAGAAGAAATATGATTAAAGCAATAAAGAGATTGACAGAAAAAAACCACACATCACATATGAAAATATTTGTATGCAATGAATTGTTTAAATACATAAATTACTACAATCAAAAAGCAATTGTTCAAATGAAAGAAGAGAACATTTTATTAAACTAAAAGCGACAAAAAAAGAAAGGGATATCTTGTTCTTGTATTTACACCAAAACAGAATTTTAAAAAATAATATCAATACTAAAGCTATGGATGCGAGAAAAATACATTAAAGAATAGAAAAATATTTTTTTATCATTTGACATAGGTTGAACAACGTTTATGCACGAGAAAAAAATTCGACTAGGATTTAAAAAATGAAAGTAAACACTGTTGGGAAGACATAACATTTATTCATTAAAACCAAAAACGTCAGTTTCTTTTAAATCATCATCTACAGTTTTAGATGACTCTAAATGAAAGAAAAATAGCATTGAATTTGTTTTATATATCTTTCTCTCGTACGGTGCCTATGTCTGTCTCATCAATTATCTTTCTACTACGTATTCTACGCTCTATTCTACTACGTATAAAAACTATGATAGCTTACTTCTATTAATAATTAGTTTTCGTTTTTTTGTTAAGGGTATTTGTATTGTTGTGCTTGTATCTGTTAGAGTTTCTCTTGAAGTACTAAATTGCTCTGTTGCTATAGAAAAGTCATTCATTGTATTGAAATCCTCAAATTTTTTGATTGTTGTTGTTGTTGTTGGCACCTTTTTAATACCCGAACTAATCTGAGATGATCGATATTCAATTACAGGTCCATCTTCTTCAATACTCTGATCAGTTTCAAACATTTCTTGTCTAAAACCACATTGTTTCGTATTTTTGTTCTCATCATCGTCAATTTGATACACTTGAACCTCAGTTGCTATATCATTGTCCTCATCGTCTACTAAGTCATTATCGTAGTGATCATATAAAATCGATCGATTATAGAAAGATTTATCATCTAAAAACAAATTAGTTTCAATCACTGAATTACGCCAGAATGCAACATATTACCATGTTCAATTTTGACAACGAGCGGTTCTTTAATATCATGAATATTATGTCTCATTTCCATCATTTCTACTGTTTCATTATCGCCATCTTGTATCCGATGTATATTTACGGTATGTTGTTCTAATGCATGCAAATTAGCAAATGTTCTTGAACATATCATACAACGATAAGATTGTCGAGTTAAGAGACTGCCTCCAGTTACATCTGAAGAAGCAAGAAAACGATGAAATTTTGTTGTATGCTGACGTAAATCACCACGAGTTGGATATGTTAAACCACATTCGGAACACTGAAATGGACAGCTATCTAGAAAGAACAGTAGATCGAAAAAAAAAATTTTATTTCAAAATTTTATGGTTAACTTTCTAATTTATCTTCTTACCTTTATGTTTATTCCTATGTTCTTTCAACTGCGATAGTGTTTGTGTTGTATAATCACACATAGTACATGACAACAACGATGAATTATTTCCTCCAGCTTTATAATGGGTCTTACCATGCATACGCAATGAATATCTAGTCAATTAGAAATAAATGATATTTGGTAAACTTATACAAATAGATTTAGACTTCTCACAACTTACTTGTCTGGAAAATCTTGTTCACATTTGTCACATGCTAATGGTTCCGTCGACAGGGTATGTTGTTTTTCAATATGGTATCTTAAATCGGATTTCCGTGCCATAACAGACGGACAATGCGTACATGAAAACGTTTGTTTATTTTCTTCATGAGTTAACATATGTGCTTTCAATGAATTACTTTGAGTAAAACGAAAATTACATATTGTACATTGATAAGGACGTTCTCCTAAAAGAGTCCTTCAAAATTCTAAAAAATGTTCGTTGATCATCTATATGTAGGCAACAAAATCAACATAAGAAGAGGGGCAATTGAGAAAACATCTTTTCACCTGTATGAACCCTTAAATGACGTTTGAGTTTAAATGTATCTGGACTTCTATAATCACAATGTTCACAACAATACGGTTTCTCCTGAAAAATAAGAAGTTTCAAACTCTTATGCTACAAAATGTTTTATTCATCAAATAACTTACTCCAGTATGGGTTCTAATATGACGACGTAATTTGCTCAATTCGACAGTTGCATACTCACAAGTGTCGCCTAAGAAAGAGAGAAAAAGCAATCATAGTTTAAACTTCTTATCACCAATAAGAGACTTACATTTGTGGGGTTTTTCGAGTGTATGTCTAAGGAAATAGAAAATGTAGAAAACGGTTATTTTAAAGTACTTTTTACGTAAAAGAGTTCCAGTGCACCTCTCTGCATTAAAGGAAAGAATCACACAGACACAATCTATCAATAGGCTTAATAAAGTAACAGCAGTAATTTCCATTTAAATGAAAATTACTGCTGTTACTTTATTATGCTTATTAAAATTCTTGCCTATTTGTAAAGATAATGTCTACAATCTATCAAAGTTAACAATACTGCTGATTTACGCACAAGGGATAATAGTACTTACTTATAACGAACGTGTCTAATCAATTCGCCTGATGTTGTAAATGCATAAGGGCAAAATTTACACTATAGAATAAAAGAAAATTCAACTGGGTAGACAGATCTTTATTGATGACAAAGATACCTTAAACGGTTTTACACCAAGGTGGGTATTGACATGATTTTGCAGCTGTAGAGTTGTTTTAAATGATCGTTCGCAATATGTACCTAAAAGATAAAATAAATTAATAAATTAATTTATCCAAACAAACTAGTCGCTAACATTTATGCGGACGTTCTGTCGAATGTGATTTTAAATGTCGTTGTAGTAGATATTTCTTAGTTGTACAATAATTACAATACGAGCACATATGTTTGGTTTCTTGTTTCGTACTTGAACCAACATTTTTTGCTTTCGCTAAATGTGATTTCACAGCATGTTTAGTTCCATCAGGTGTGAGGTCACTTGAATAAAAAAAGATTATTGAAAAATATACACTAATAGATAAAAAAAATCACTATTTTAAACGCTACAATATTATCATTCAAATTTATCTTCAACTGTAGACAAATACCTGAAATCGTATATGGAAAATTTTGATTGCCTTTTAAATGCTCTACTTTTTTTTGGCTTGGACGGCGTCGATGTTGACGTGGATGCAACGGCTTCATCTTCCAATTCTTCCATCTCATCTTGTTCTTCGTCCATCACTGCTTCGATTGTCCCCTGTTTTCCAGTAATTGTCTTCGTAGGAGGCTCCCATTCTTCATCAATATCTCCTTTTCGCTTATTTTTTCTTTCGTTCGAGATGATAGTTGTTGTTGGAAGGCTCAGTTTTGTATCATTAGGATTTCCATTTGCATAACGTTCAGTTGTAATCAATGGTGGCGTTCCGTCTCTAGATGGTTGATCTGTTTGGTCTACTTCCGCCTCACGGTCATTCGGTTCAAGATCAACAAATTTCACAGCTTTAGAACGACGAGTTGAGCTTCTCATAGCGGTCATATCTGAATGTGCACTAACATCTACAAAAAAGCCCCAATGATAGATAAATCAAACACAAAACTTTGTCAACTGTAAACGGAGAAAATAGAGACGGAAGAGTTACGATGCACTATTGATCAGTTTATTCTAAACCTGTAACTCAATGGTCAATCATACAGTGTTTAGGAAAACAATTTCTTTCTGAACAATGTCCGCTATAACATCAGGATATATATCGCATTAACTGATTAACTAATTGATTTTTAATTTAAGTAATTTTTTATAATTAATTATATCGTGATTTCGATTTTGTCAGTCATTATCTACGAACTTAGACTCTGTCCATATGTGGAGTTTTGGGCTCTGTGGTTTTTCAAGCTTATTCTTTCTTTTTATATTATAAACTTAAAGTTTATTTCTACTTTATCCTCTTCAGTCACAGAACGCCTAATATGTATCGTAGCGATAGATGCCGCCACATTTCGAAAAACCAGCCTGCTAACTGAAATACGTCAGATTATCTTTTTTAACATCAACGACTTGAATTGAATCAAGTCTCACTAAAAAAACGAGTATATTAAATTTCGAAAACATTCACAATAAAATGCGCTTAAAGTTTTAGAAAAGCGAAATTTACAATTGAGAGAATAATACAACACATTCTTGCTCAAATATATGGATTTTGAATGGATTTATTTGATAACACGTTTTACCCGGTAGACGTAACGTTAGTGATTCCCTGAAACTTGGTGTAGAGCAATCCGAAACAATGGAATTCGGCGAATTTAATTGTCGCTTGATGAATCTGTAATAGTCTAGCTGCACTACTATTAATCGACTTATTGGAAGCGAGTTTTAAATACATTTTAACATTCACGCGGTATAGTGAGACTGTTAGCGTTAAAAAAGTTAATGGGATGTCTTATATGGATATACACATTGGCTCTTCAACCGAAGTTTCTCAGCATATATATAATAACAACATGTTAATTGGAGATGTAACTGGCGTCTTGCAACTGCCTCGCAATTGAAACAATATTAATACGAACCTATTAGGTAACCTTTTCTCGTCGAAAGATTAAATATGACTTGCCAAACGCTGGATCCTATATGCGATCAAAAGAACACGTTAAGCTAGAATAGAATACGTGATAGTAAGCAAATACTAATTTGTTTCTGTCGAACGTTTCATTAGGCAAATATTGAAAGTCATTAATCTTTTTTCTCTTTTTCCGTAGAAAAACAAGGTTTTCATTAAAAATTTTTACAGCAGACGTCTATCTACTTCTAAAGTGCTATAACAGAACCAACATAGACTTTTTAGAAAAAACCAATGGAAATATATAAATTCTTTTTCAATAGTTCGAAAATAACATTTCATTGTAAAAATGTACTTCTACAGAAAACACATTTTTTCTTTTACTGTGGGTTGAGCACACATTTTTGACACATTGTACATCATTTTGCACGTGATGTTTCTTAGGTATACTCATGTATCTTTAAATGTGCTCAAAATGTGTGCGCGATTCATTCATCGCATAAAAATGTATAGTCTCTGCCAAGATTTCGGATGTGCACAGCATCTCTTCAGTTTTTTTCAACTAATTATATAAGCGAATCAGTATGTATTATCTAGTTTTCTACGAAAATAACATGTGGAGCAGAGCTGAAGTCGGTCCGGCATAGCATTACTAGACGGGTCCTGTAACATGTCCGTGTCGACCTTAAAAGTTTTCTAGTTTTTACCCTAGTATTAAGAAAATCCTTGAAAAAACGAAAATTTTACCAAAAGAAGGTCGGAAACTGCTGAATTTTCAGATTAATTTCTTTAAAATCAGGTATTAAAGCTTCCAATCTGATCCAGTTTAAAAATTGCGCAGCACTTTAGCACATAATAGAGCACAATAGAATACGTTGAGGTATATAGAGAGCACATTCTATCTGAGACATATGTGTACTATATACACGAACACTTTACGATGGTACATGTTATCAGGACATATCTGAGACCATACCTAATGTACCACCTCCTCTTGCGCATTCAGCACACTCGATAATCCAGAAATTTTCTATAATTTTCTATTTCAGAAATTTTCTTGGCGAGACGTATTGCCAAAAGTCAAGGAAAATTTTTCGGACAAAACGATGAAAAAGAATTTCTGTGCGGCTTGTCCAGCTAACGGTCCCTTTTTTCACTCGTTTTCAAAAATTATTGCAATAACGCTACAAACTAATCTAAAACTGCAACTAGATAATTAAGTAGGTTAAACATTTCTCTATAAAATGAAAAGTGTCTGGGCTCTGAATGTTGATTCGTTATGAAAATACAGTTGTGGTATCGATCTTTTGGACTGTTGGTACAACAGCTGTATTTTCATAACGAATCAACATTCAGAGCCCAGACACTTTTCATTTTATAGAGAAATGTTTAACCTACTTAATTATCTAGTTGCAGTTTTAGATTAGTTTGTAGCGTTATTGCAATAGTTTTTGAAAAAGAGCGAAAAAAAGGGATCGACGGTCCCGGACCGTTAGCTAGACAAGCCGTGTGAGAAAATAACATTAGTTTAAAAATATTTCTTAAACTTTTGGCAATACATCTCGTCAAAAAAAGAAAATCTTCTGGGTTATCGAGTGTACTGAATAAGAAAAAGCACTTTTCCGCGACTCTACATAAACTTTACTTTTCTATCGGTGATATGAATTATTCATGTACAAGGCATAATCTGAAAAGGTTGCATGCTTTATACAGTGTGGTGCTCAATTACTCTAGAATAATAATTCGCTATCTCGAGTAAGGTTAGCTTGAGAAGTCAACATTTGTCTTTGCCAGTATAACATGGATATTACGTGAGCAGCATATTCACGCAAGATATTTTCACAAATCTTCATGTTTACTGAATTCCACACCAAACTATGATGGCATCTCGCTATACTTACGCTGTTGGCGCAGATTATAGAATGCTTAGTGAGTTTAGAAAGTGTGATTAGAAAAATGGTGTCAAGAATGCAAAAGAAGTGTGTTTGTGTCGAAACTCTAAAGATGTGTTTGGAAGTCACCATAAACCTATCATTCCTTCAAGTATCACATGTCGAAATTTATGCGTTTGAGTACTTGACACCTCTGTGACCAGGGCCGTAAATAGGAGGTCAGCTTTAGGCGGATGTAAAAACTGCAGCGGGGATGATTTTGTTTGTCGGATGTTTTTTTTTGTCTATAAAAAAACGGCCCTCGCTGTTTTTGATTAATTTGTAGTAGTGGTGATAGCTGATCATATCTACATTTATTTTCACATGTTACTTTTGGCTTCTGGTTTCTTGTAGCCTGGAGAAAATGTTTGAAAGTTGATCGGTCAAGAAAGTAAACTTTTCACTATTTTCGATTGTTTTTACTTACCAAACGGTCCAAAAACTAAACATGTATTAATGCTATATGTCAATAGATCGAATTTCTCATGGGCTAAAAAACTGTGGTTTCAGAATACTTTTTGACTATTAATGTACAGAGAAAATTATCAAACTTTGATAGAGTATCAAACCTAATATTGGTTAATCCACAATAAAGGGATGGACACAATAGAGGACCCCCTTACGATAGAAGACCTCCCCTCCTCCCCTGTTACAAGACCCCTCTCGAACTCATAACGCAAAACCCACGTTAGAAGATCCCCTTCTTTTATCGATTTTTTGACCTAAAATATGTTGATTTTGAGGTTCAATCAAACATTAATCTTTGCGTTCGCCTTTTCCCTCAGCTGTTCCCAGGTCGAATTCACCCGATCGGAATCTGCTCAATTCCTTCGCGTTCCGATATTTTTTTTCTGGTGGTTCCGGAGATATTCGGAACCAGGCGGATCCGGTAATGTCCAATGACCGGAAATCGATGTATCCTGTGATGTGCACTTCTTTTTTTTCTTTCCAGTGCGGATAATATATTCATCGTTTTGTTTCGCGACAGGAGCACTTTAAATACGACACTGCAGAAAATGATAAATGAGAAGTTGTTATTCTCAAATTCTTAACAATGTGAGTCATCGCTCACACCGTTCAACAGACGTGTTATACACGTCCTAGCTAGCGGGCCCCTTCACTCTCTCGAATGAACAGAGAGAAGAACCATTAGAAAATGAAAGAAAAAATTGAAGACTATTTTTAACCTTAAAATTGGTCACATTCTGCCAAATCCAGCGAAATCCGATTCATGTGCCGGAAGGTCCCGGAAGATGTCGGATCCGGTCGGATCTTTTCCAACACCTTCCGGCACGGATTACGAGCAACGGATTTCCGGCATGATCCGGTATGATTGCTGCCGGATTTTACCGAATTCCACCAACTTCCGGCATGTTCCGATGTTGGATCCGGCAGGATCCTGACGCCGGGATGGACGACCTGGGTTAGAGTGAATATACAGCTGCTAGACAAAAAGAAGTGTGTGCGTACACAGCTTTGTACATAGTGCGAACTCTCGATCAAGCGATTTCAGCTTAAAATCGGCTTTTTTTAGGGACGGTTTAGAAGACCTCCTTCAGAGTTATGAGCATTAGGACGCGATATAAGATCCGGGTCCTCTATTGTGTCCATCCCTTTATTTTGATTTGATTCAGATCATTCAGCTACACAGAAGAGCTCATTCATATACCATTCGATAAGTCTTCAAAAACTCTATAAATCTATATACTTTTCTTGACTTTTAGAGTGGGGCTAGTATACGAAAAGTTGCATTAAGATGTTGCAAGTCATTAGCTGATTAGCATTCAAAAAATGTCAAATCCACAAGCATTTCCTATTATTCCTTACATATCCTATGTGGCTATTGCTGTTGTAGCCTTTCTCATAACATTATTACTCATTGGCAAGCTGATAACACGAAATGACTTTTTATCCACACCAGATTTACAAATATATGCCCGTCGACAAGAGCAACCAAGGCCACGAAGAGTAAACGATATCATCACCCAAAACACTTGATGTTAGCTTTTATGTAACATGTAATGATCGTTTGTTTTTAAGATAAGCGCTAATTTATAAGAAAATAGTCTTGAAGTTACACAGATGATGCTTAATTTACTTTATCACTGAAAAGGGCGCTGAAATCTCGTGGGAGAATAAAATATCACAATGGAACTTCATGCGATGACGCGTTTCGAACGGTCTCGTCAGGTGATCTCGATACTGTTCTGTTCAGATATCGAAGGTATTGTGGATGAGTCACTTTTCTATTCTGATCTATATGATCTGAACTCGAAAAGTACCATACTGGGAATGGTATAATGCTATTTATATATAAATATATATATACATCCCGGGGTCTATATTCTTTTTTCTGATATCTATATTTCAAGAAAATAGCTTCCACCGACTAACCTGATCTCTCTTTCTCTTTGTAAGTACGCTCGGTCTCGTATCTTGTTTTATTTTTATTCTTGCATTATTTATTCCTCTTCTCAAAAAAATAATCTAGATCATTTCTTCGTCCCGTCTCTGTTTCAAGATCGACGCCAGATATTTGTTTTAACCAAACGAATCTTGGTCGTACAAAGGCGATCTATGATGGGTATAATACATGTAAAATAATTTTCCATCAATCGATCGTTAGGCTGATAATACAATAATATTCCATTTGTCTCTCACCTCTCTTCCCTATACAAAACTAGGTTCCGATAAAAACTAGATTCCGAAAAGATCCGAATAGATATGTGTCTTAACCGTTCTTATATTATATTTCGATCAAGTCTTGGAATTACAGAGACGAAGTTTAGCTTACTTTATCACTGAAAAGGGCACTGAAATCTCCCTGCGCCGTATTACACAATTTTTTCCACAATCCCAACAGCCAGGAGCTCATACTTTTACAACATGCTTTACTATCCGATACGATCAAACTTATACTTGTGTATACGAAAACTTGAAAATGCAAGCAGGGAGAGAACTGAGTTTTTTCCAAATCCATAAATGTTTTACGAAGAAAGTTGTTATAATGGTGGTCGAAGCTCCATGAAATTGCCCCGTTTATATTATACATATTATTTATATATTGAATACAATATACAATATATTTATATATTGAACACTACTGCTTATCCTCAAAGTTTTGTAGCTACAGTATCACGCTTAGTAAACGTCCTATTTTTCTATAAAATCGTCCTACTATATCCTTCTTTCTGGATTTTCTCCTACTTTTTTAATTTTCTATGTTTATAGTAAATTCAAAGGCAAAAAGACATTTCTCTCCTACTTTTCACTAATGAACCTTTTTAGTTTTGCCTTTAAAAACTGCACATGACTCAATACTAGCTACTCATGTCAAAAACTTGATTTAAATTCTTTTCTCCTAACCGTCTAAAAATTATATATAAATCCACTCAGGGTACCTTTCACGAGCTTGTCTAACTTTGTTTCTGAAAAGATCTATTTTAAACGGTTAGGAGAAAAGACTTTATATCAAGTTTTGACATGAGTAGCTAGCATTGAGTCATGTACAGTTTTTAAACGCAAACTTAAAAAAAGGTTCACTTGTAAAAAGTAGGAGAAAAATGCCTTTTCCCATATATAATACCCATTTTCCAGCCATTTTCACAAAATTAAATATTTTTTTTCTTCACTAATATGAGCTGATGAAGATAAAAAAAGCATGCCACCAGATGTAACTTTCAATGCTCTATTCAACCATATGTGAATTATTGCATTTAGTCAACGTATCAAAATCGAGGAGAAAACCAGTAGGAGACGGGTCTCAAATATAGTGCTTGTCGTAAAATGCGTGTAAAATCATAAAAACACATCGCACAGATCTCGTCGACGCCTCATTTTGTAGAAAAATGTTTGCTCTACATCTCTAATGACTCAAACATAGTTTGTATGTCCAGATCTTTGAGATTTGTATCAAAATTTAGAAAAGTAAGAAAACGATGAAACCTATGCCTGTCTCCAATATTTGATTTACAGTACATCATCCTAGTGTTTTAAAATGTTCTATTACATATAAATCGATATTACCTGCTCTACAAAATGAAGTAAGATTTATTTTGGGACCGCCATATGCATGGCTTATATTTAAAAAGTATTGAGAAAAATGCAAATTATAAAAATGGAATATCTTAGTTTTCTATTATTTAGTCCTAGATAGTTAAACATATTATTATGTCGAAATATATGATCTTATAGAGTAAACATTTCTCTTTCAAATGAGTCATGAACGAATTATAGAAGTTTGATAGTTTTCCAGAAAATTGGAAAATATGAAAGTTTGTGAAAATTCACGTTATAGAAGGTTAACTGATTCTTTTTAAAATTTTTAATTAACTAATTAAGAATAAAAGCTTTTCTCGTCCAACACGCACAGAAGATAAAGCTTGAAATTGTCTGCGAAATGGTCTAGATTTTTTCTACCACTACTTTACCACTAGAAAAAGTGATCAGATCGTTATCCATTAGAATTCTGAATAAGACTGCTGGACTTTGAGCTATTGAACTTATTCTACTCAGACTATTTGTCCCTTGTTCTCTGGCATGTCAATTAACCTAAGAAAAGTTGAATAAATAATAAAGCATCGTAAGAGTGAACCACTACCCGACATCAGAAGACATAAATCGATTTGTTAAACAGCCAGCAGCGCTATATATAATAGGTTTCAGACTAGAATCAGAATGCTAAATGTCTAGAAGATACGATAAATGTCTCATTGTCTGATAAATATAATGCTAACAGAAACAATTTTAAAACACATTGTAAATTTATTTACACTGTAAGGTTGGAAATTATTTATGGAAAATGCTCGGCGAATTTCAAAGAGTACATATGGGAATTCCGTGGGGATTTTCCAGTTTATAGAAAATCGAATTTCCAACAATCTAGAAAATCGCCGT